TTGTGGCAACTGGCAAGTTCAATTCACCGTTACTGGCATGAGAATGTGAAGCGTTTTCTGCTCTCAAAAGCATCCTAAAATCAGAATTTTTTTATACAAAAAAAAAAATTGGTGAGTTGAATCCTGAAATTCATTAGAACATACTTTCAAGTTTAATAAACACTTACAAAAATACTTATAAATTACTCACTAATAAAATCTTTACATTGGTCACAGGGTTTGAATACACATGGATTATGATTTAAATTCTTATCAATTGAACAAACTTTTATGGGTAAATGAGAAAAATTTTAACATGCCATGTGGAGTTGGACGTGATGTATTTGAGCGCAGCCTTACATGTTCTTGGCATCTATCTTCCACTCCAATATTCGGCTACGCTGGTTTTTTGGTTTTGGGTTATTTCCCTGGCGATTGTCGCAGCACGCCAGCAACGTTTCCGTTCCTGAGTCCATTAGTAGTAAATGTCGTGGGGCTATTTCTATTTCTCCATTGTATTTTTCAGTCAAAAAATGTTGGGCTTTTGCTACGAGCTTCCTAGTTAAAATCATGGTTGATACGTCAAGATGAGTGATTGAACCATGATGAATGTCCTCCCTCTATCTTCCACTCACATTATAGCCCGTTTAACCAACCAGCACAGGACGATATTTCAGGCCGACAATATATGAGCCCTGGATCAACAAGCCTATTGTTCTACCAAAAACAGAAAGCCCATTTATTTTAAGATGAATAAAAAAAATTACGCCCCGGTTCCTTATGGCATAATTAAATATTTTAGGATTTGTTGACAGTTAAACTTAGCAAAATTTTAGTTGTCATTTTGATACATAAGTTATCAATAGACTTCGTGAGTTCTGATATTCAATCGTGTTGCGATTAATCTAAACGTAATTCTCAAAAAACATATGGGTTAATGAGTATTTTTAAACATGAAACTATTACCCAAATAATAAACTGAATCTTAAACTTCTAAAATAAGCAAAACCGTTTCTCAACTTATAAATTTTGAGTAAATTATCTCTTATTATTTATCCATACAATTTTGACTATTATATGGCTCAATTGGCATGCCATATGTCAAGAGGATATTAGTGTCACATCAACCTTAACTTGGCCTTACAAAGTTAAAAGCAACTGCAGCTATATGTAAATTGATGACAACAACAACAACAAGCCTTTATCCACTAGGTGGGGTCGGCTACATGAATTATAAGATATCATTGTGCTCTATTATTTATCAAGCTTTTAGGAATATTATTAATTAAGAGATCGCGTTCAACAACTTCCAAGAGTGTTCTCTTAGGCCTTTCTCTACCTCTCTTAATTGAACTCAAAGTTATATATTCCACTCTTCTCACTGGTGCCTCCCTTGGTCTTCTTTGTACATGCCCAAACCATCTCAACTGATTTTCTACCATTTTTTTCTCAATAGGTGCCACCCTCACTTTTTTGCGTACGTGCTCATTTCGAATTTTATCTTTACGTGTATGTTCGCACATCCATCGTAACATTCTCATCTCTGCTACTCCCGTTAGAGCCCAGCATTCACTACTATATAACATTGCAGGTCTGATAGCAGTGCGATAAAACTTTCCTTTAAGTTTATTAGGCACCTTACGGTCGCAAATAACTCTTTTAGCTTTTCTCCAATTAAACCACCCAGCTTGAATTCTATGTGAAATATCTCCACTGATTTCGCCATCATTTTGAATAATGGCTCCCAAATATCTAAACTTTTTCACTTGAGGTATAATTTGATCTCCCAATTTCACTTTAAATTATTGTCGAATAGTCCTTTACCAAATTTACAATATAAATATTCCGTCTTACTTCTACTCAGACAAAAACCTTTCGACTCCAATGTCCTCCTCCATAATTCAAGTTTGCAATTAACCTCTTCTCTTGTCTCTGCTATAAGAACTATATCATCCATGAAGAGCATACATTTCGAAATTTCCCCTTGAATATGTTCCGTCAAAACATTTAAGATCAAGTTGAACAAATAAGGACTCAGAGATGATCCCTGATGTAGTCTAATCTTTATAGGAAAATCCTTTGTTTGACCACTAGGCGTTCTTATACTAGTTTTTACCCCCTCATACATATCTTGTATGGCTTTAATATAAGTAATCCATACTTCCTTTTTTTCCAACGCTTTCCAGAGCACTTCTCTTAATATTCGGTCATAAGCTTTTTTCAAATCAATAAAAACCATGTGTAGATCTTTATCTTTACAACGATACTTTTCCATTAATCCCCTTAGTAGATAAATCACCTCTATAGTTGATCTACCTGGCATAAAACCAAACTGATTCTCAGAAATACTTGTCTCCAATCTCAACCTGTGCTTAATTACTTTTTCCCACAATTTCATTGTGTGGCTCATGAGTTTAATCCCTCTATAGTTTGTATAATTCTGAATATCTCCTTTATTTTTATAAATAGGAATTAATGTACTTCTCCTCCACTCATCAGGCATTTTCTTGGACCGTAAAATCACATTAAATAACTTAGTTAACCATCTCAACCCTTCTTCACCTAAACATTTTCACGCTTCGATAGATATACAATCAAGTCCGTTGGCTCTATCATTTGCTGTTTTCTTAAGAGTTTCCTTTACCTCCTTATCACGTATTATTCGATAGAATAAAAATTTTGTTCTCCTTCACCAGTTACTAAATCCTCCAAGTTACTAGATGAACAGTCTCCATCATTAAAAAGTTTAGAAAAGTAAGTCTCCCATCTATTTTTAATTTCATCATATGTAACTAAAATTCTTCCCTCTTTATCCTTAATACACCTTACCTGTTCTAGATCTCTTGATTTTCTTTCCTTACTTTTGGCAATCTTATAAATATTTCGCTCTCCTTCCTTCATCTCAAGGCTCTTATAAAATTCTTCAAAAGCTTTAGAACGAGCTTCACCCACAGCTCTCTTAGTTTCCTTTTTAGCCATACGGTACCTCTCCCAATTTTTTTCATTGTTACACAAATGTATGGCTTTAAAACAGTTCTTCTTATACTTAATTTTGTCCTGTACACTATTATTCCATCACCGAGACTCCTTATCTCTCGGACCAGAACCTTTTGATTCTCCCAAAACTACTTTTGCAACCTCTCGTATCTTTTTAGCCATATCCTCCCATATGATGTTAGCACTTCCCTGAGATTCCTAAATTCCTTTATCCAAAAGATTTCGCTTGAAAATATCTTGCTTCTCACCTTTTAATTGCCACCTCCTAATCCTTAGTGCTACTACTTGTCGACGTTTTTGGATTTTACTCATAATACACACATCAAGGATTAGGACCCTATGTTGTGTCGTTACAGCATCTCTGGGGATCACTTTGCAATTTTTACAAAGTCTTTTATCTGTGTTCCTAACCAAAAGAAAATCAGTCTGTGACCTTGAGGCTCCACTTTTGTAAGTGATGAGATGCTCATATCTCTTCTTGAAACAAGTGTTGGCAATCTTAAAATCATACGCCAATGAGAAATCAAGAAGAGTTTATCCTTCATTGTTTAGCTCTCCAAAACCAAAACACCATGCACCCTCGCATACTGACCAGCTTCCCTCCCGACATGCCCATTAAAGTCTCCTCCAATAAAAATCTTTTCACTCTGTGGTATGTGTCGAATCAACCCCTCCAGATCCTCCCAAAATAATTCCTTAAGACTGGCTTCTGTCCCGACTTGCGGTGCATAAGCGCTAACAATATTAACAGTCTCACGTCCAATTATCATTTTTAAGGAAATAATTCTGTCTCCAATTCTGCTAACTTCTACAACGTTCTTCTTTCACTCCTTATCTATAATGATGCCTACTCCATTGCGTGCACTTACTTTTCCTGTATACCAAAGTTTGAAACCTTGAATATCCTTAGCTTCTTCTCCACGCCATTTTGTTTCTTGCAGGCAAAGGATATTGATTTTCCTTTAAATCATAACCCCTACAACCTCTACAGATTTACAATTCAATGTTCCAACATTTCAAGTACCAAATCTAATTTTGCTTTCATGGACTAACTTCTTTAGCTGCGTGCGTCCAGAATGACGTGATAGCCCTTGCTCATTTAACACTATATCCGGGGGCCGATGCAGCGGCTCTAACTCACTTATCACTATACTCGAGCCATGCAGCGCATTACTTACGGGCAACGACTTAACATTAACATTATAACATTTATTGTCCATGTTCATGATATATTCAATAAAATTTTACATTGGCTGTTGATAGCCTAACACAACTCTCCTCCTTTACCCGGGCTTGAGACCGGCTATAAACATAGGCAGAGTTATAAACATATGTAAATTGACAACAAGGACAATTTGCTTGAAATTTATAAATTAAAAAAATTTTTTGTTTATTTTAAGAATTCAAATTTTAAAATGTTGTTATAATAATAGTTTAAGGCTCAAGATACTCATTAATCCAAAACATGTTATAACAATGTATCCTTATATCCTAAATTTTGATTTAGATGCTCATCGCATAATGAGCAATCTAGATAGTCTAAATATATATATTTTATATTTTATATTTATTAAAATAAAAATTAGAAATAATAATGAATTTATCCTATCATCAATTTAAATAATATAGATTTAATATAAAATATTTTTATTTTTTTATAAATTAATTATCTAAATACATTCTGAATAGTTTGGATTTAAATTTTTTATATTTTAACCATTTCTTAATTTTTTTAAAATATCAGCTTAAAGATTATCTTTATTTTTATTTTTTACTATTATATTTGCTAAAATAAAATTTATAAAAATTATAAAAATTTATTATTAAATCAAGATTGTTCAAAATACATCTAAACACTCTATTTATAAAAATTATTAAAAAATTTAATATTAAATTATATCATTTAGATTGAATTTTTATTGTCTAGATTAATGATAAAATAAACTTATTAAAATTATATAATTTTTATAATAAACATAAAAATACATCAAGTGATGAGCACCACACCATGGTGCTCCTATCAGTTGGTCAATAACCAACAAGCCACTCAAGACCTTAATAATTGTAATATGTAGTTCACGCGCATGGTAAATAAATCCACAAATATAGAACTCATTATAGAAGGTACAGTGCAAATTTTCCCTGCGGATGGGACAAGCGTGTATTCAAATGCGCACGCAAACGACTAACGTCGAATGCAACAAGCTCGCCAGATAACGAATCTGAAGAGTTGTGCAATAACTTGTGTCCCTCATCAAGCAAAATCCTGAAACACAGGATTGGATTCAAGCTGCTCCGCAAATTTCTGCAGTGTTTCCTTCAATAATCCTACCAGCTCATCTTTATCCGATTCCGCATGTTCCTGTCTACCTACATCAGCAAAAATATCATCATAAAGAAGAACAACTGCCTCGTCCGCTTCAGATAGTGGTAAACCCAACTCCTTCGCATTTCTTTCTAGGAAGCTCCTCAATGTTTCCTTATTTCCTAACCCGCTCTTTGCATTCTGCTTTTCCTGCACAAGTTTTTCTGCAATGCTGCTTAATTCCTTTTCATTGTTCAACAGCTGCATCGTTGAATACAATATCAATTAATGCATAAGGATAGGTGTAAACCGGCACGAAGGCATCTACTTAAGGTTTTTTTTTTTATTATTTTTTTATTTTTAAAGAAAACACCCATTTCTGATTTCAATGTCCACCCTTGAATTGATATGACCAATCCCACCGAGCAAAACTTACGATGCCACACTGTACGTCACAGAAAGCAGATAAACCGTAATAGATGCTAACATGGTCATCTTCAGGCTCGGAAGATGACTGGTAAATCAGTTCTCAGTTATGCAAGAAGCATTGCCATGGAAAAGATTGGTGTTTTGGATATAAGTATGAAATTTAACTAGGTTTACGAAAAATGGATATAGAAGATACCTGTCTTAGCTTAGAGCCATTGATGATTTTTATGTTCTGAATAAAAGTGACATTCTTTTGTGAAAGTTCCTCTGCTAGATCTTGCAGAACGGCCTGAAGAAGTTGTGCAAACTGTGCCTGGCCCAGTTGTTCTTTTCCATCTGCTCCATGTTTTCTCAGTATGTCATTTAGCTGAGGAAACTCTGTTCATTTTACACTAAAAGCTGTCAGTTTCTCACACTTGGAGAACAACCGTGTGGAAGCTCACAAATAAACATAACTGTGTGTATATGGATCAGATAAGAAAACGAAAACGGAACAAGTTCATTTTTCTTGCACATATAAAATAAATTATGCATCTTCCATTAACATGCATACATGGATCGGATCACAAAGTATCTCTCTCTCTCTCTCTCTTTCTCTCTCTCTTTGTAGTTACGATTATATATGGCATGGTTTCAATTCATTACCAAGATACAACAAATCTACTATGAAGGAAGAAGATAAGCGCCAAAGTTTGGTCCTGGTGCTTTGGTTATGCAATCACTTGTGCATTCCAGATAAAGTATAATAGCTTAAAATAGGAACAAACGGGGGAAAAAAATAACAGAAAAAAATAATAAAAATAAGTGCAGCAGCCCAACGCAGAAAAAAAAGTGAACCTGAGAAAGGAGGAACACCCATCTCAGCTCCCATCTGGACAAGAGCATTCCGGATTTCACACTTACTGATTTTCCCTTTATCCTCAACATCTAAATCAGTGAAAAGATTTTCTGCTAACATAGCAAAATCGTCCTCATCCTCTAAAAACATCCGCAGAGTGTTACCATCCAAGATCGATATAACAAGAGGATCATCTGCACGTATAATTTCAATGTATGAAGTGTTTTTTCCCCTTTGTCAGAATATCAAAATGTAACTATTTGATCATGAAAGCACAACATGGAAACGCAGAAGAATTGATAATCGCTCAAAACTTATGCACAAGTCTATTTCCATAACATCTGCGAAATTATGATAGAACTTGATAAAAAGAAAGGTTACAGAAGTTAAACGTTTTCTGTAACAAAGCGAAATTCCGGCCCATCATCCACATCAGGCTTTTATAAGTATGATCAAACAGAAACTCTTGAATTCCCGATTTCACTCGTGTTGTTTACTGTGGCATTTTTTTCCTGCAGTCTTCGTAATTCTTCGTTTTTCATTCCCCCCCCCCCCCAAAAAAAAAAAAGAAGCGGAAACTCCAAACAAATTAAAAGGGGTTCAGTACCAAAGACATGGTTCAAACGCATTCAACATTGATGACTAGGAAATCACGAGTTAAATCGACCTCAGGTTATACCTATAGTGCATTACTTGAGTGATTGAGATTGAACAAAGGCAAATTTCAGATAGACTAAGAAAACAAAACAAGAAATCGGTATTTCCAACACGAAAAGGGTATGAACCTTTGAGTTCATCGGCGATCGCAGCGAGGTAGTCTTTGAATATCTCAGACGCTTTGTCCTTGGTGAACTCAGAAGACCGGAAATTGTCGACATCGTTGGGGACGATGCGCGATAGAGCAGAGGCACTGATTGATTCGGGTAATGGGAGACCAAAGAGGGAATCAGAGGCTCTAGAATTGGCTATGTTCAGTATCTGAGCTCCAGAGAAGATGACATCAGGTTCCGGCAGCGAGAGATCGACGGCTTTGATGTGCATTCCATCGAGAACACGCAACGCCCCATCCGACATTCTGCCACGGATATAGTTCAAACTTTGAACTCAGCTCAGCAGGACGACTTGGAAGTTTTGGAACCCAAAAATAATACGGTCTGCGTTCTGTCTATTCCGTGTCTGGACTGGACTTCAAATTGTGAACTCTCGTTCCTATTTCTATTCCCAATTTCCAAATATAAATAATAAATAGTACTTGCAAATTACGTCCGTCTGTCCAATTGCAGCTGTGGTTTAATGTTAACAATTAATCGATCACTTTTATTTCTTCATTGTCATAATTGTTAACTAGTAACGGATGAAAATTCCACCAGCAGTATAACGTCACGCGGATTTAGTCAAATGCTGAAGTCGCATGGCCTTAGTAATTAAGAAAGGTCGACAGAATTGTACGAAGCCTTATTGAAATTTAAGAGAGGCAGCGCTACCAAACTCGAACTTCAAAGTTCATTTTCACCCGTGGTAATGGAGTTGAACTCTGAATGGGCTCTTTCTCCAGCTTAGCAGATACGTATATCAATGTAAAAGGCTAAAGCTCTTAAAATTCCTCCGCTCGCATCTAGAGCAAGAAAGCCAACTCCCTCTTCTATGATCTTTATCATCTTTCCATCTCAATTTTAATAGCTAGGATTTAATCTATTCCAAAATTATTATTATTATTATTATAGTATTAAATAATAAAAAAATCAAAATGTTAGAAATTAATTTGAATCGAATGGTTTAGGTAGCGAAAAAGGTAAAAATAATAATAATATCTTTTATTCAAATTTTAAACGGTCCATATCAAACTTTAATAATTTAATTTAATTTATTTATTATTTAATATAATAATTTTATAATATATTAAATCCTTTAAATTGAAACTTAAAAGTTAAGAAAAGACAAAGGTGAGAAACGAATTCCATATTCCAACCCTGATAAAATGCAAATGGGATCATGACTTTCTGTTAATTAAGAAAATCTCACGTCGAATCTTGTATGCACGGGAGAATATTCCTGAATACTTGCTTGAAGCGAGGACTCCGAGTTGAATTTGATCCGTCGATCTATAAAATCTAACGCAGGGTGAAGGGATTCAGCCCTTTCCAGTGAATTCAATTTAAATTAGAATATTCTATTCTCACCTCGAAGCTCCAAAAACCTTAAGATGCTTGCGCGCTGCACCATTTGGACTGTGCTCGTTGACCTGGAGGCAAAGGATGGGTAACCTTGGGCATCAAAAACTTTATTGCGCTTTAGATTCTGAATTCTTCCACCCTCAGCACTCCACAACGCAAGAGCATCCTCTCCATGCACTACCTTGTCCCCCACCACCAAATCTTGGATCGCTACTCGAAGAGGTACCATGCTTCTCACTAGCAAGCAAATCAAGCTGGTGGCGACCACGTTCAAGCATATCACGAACATGATGGCTCCCAGTTGGATCCCCACCTGTCTCAAGGCCTCGTGAGTAGAACCATTTTGAAGCGCATAAGCAAGCCCAATGTATTTGTCCCAATTGGGCACCATATAGAAGAGACGGCACAGTTTAGGAACAGCAAAGAAGCTGGTGAGGATGCCGCCAAGAATGCCGGCGATGGCGTGGGTGTGGAAGACTGCCATGGGGTCATCAACTCCCTTCAAGAAGCTCACCTTCTTGTGGAGAAGCATCATGATGTACCAGGGAACACTTCCACATATCAATCCCATTAAGACGGCTGCCCACCCTTGCACAACTCCTGTAATTATTTGCGTAGTAAATCAGCAGTGTCGGTGAAGTGTTCGAGTGCGAAGGAGTAAATGTCGGAAATAGAATCGGGAGGTGGTTATTGGTATCACCTGCGCCGGGAGTAATGCAGACGAGGCCAGTGATCATGCCCTGCACTGCGCCGAACACGGTGGGCTTTCCCAAGTAGAAGGCGTCAAGGATGACCCAGACGATGATGTTAGTGGCCGCACACATGTGGGTGTTGAGGATGGCCAGAGATGCCACCGTGATCACCACGAACGGGCCTCCACCGTTGAATCCACTCCAACCCATCCACAGCAGCCCTGCTCCTGCGAGCACCATAATCATGTTGTTCGGTGTTTGCGGACTCGCTTCTCTATCCTCGTTTGATCTTGGACCCACCTGCTCAAAACCCAACAACAGAGGTTTATTTCATTATGACGCATAACAATAACACTATTCGTTTCGGACGATTTAAGATGCAAACAAGGGGTTTAATGCATGCATATATACCCAGTAAGTCGCAGTGAAACCAGCAACCCCTGCATAGAGATGAATAACAAAGCCTCTTGAGAAGTCAATGATGCCCTGCTTTGCTAGCCACCCATTGGGGGACCAATGCTAAAGGTAGAGACGGTGTAGGAAAATGTGAGCCAGAGCGGCACAAACAGCATCCATGCTCGAAAGTTCATCCGGCCAAGTAATGCTCCGGCTATCAAGATCAAGGTAATTCCAGCAAACACACCCTAAAAGAACGCCATGGTGGCGGTGGGAAACAGGCCCAGAAATGCCTTCTCCAGCAGAAACTTATCGGCGAGTGCGACACCTGGTTTTTCGACGAAGAAAACCAGTTTGTCTCCAAAGGACATGCGGAAAACCCAAGAAGCCCAGCAAAGTAGGACGGCCGCGAAGGCGTAGAAGGCCATGAAAGCAGAGTTGACGGCCCAAGTCTTCTTGATGAGGCTTCTGTAGAGGATGACCAGCCCGATATGCTGTGGAGGCCCACTACCGTGGCTGCAGTTAACTGCCACGTGTTGTCCCCCCTTCTTCATCCACTCCAGGCTAGGCCCGAACCCGAACATGATCGACTTTTTAAAAAGCCCGAATAGTCAAGCCCGGCCCGAATGCCCGAATTTAATTTTTTAAATTATTTTTAATTATTTTTTACTTTAAAATTAATTATTTTATTTTATAAAAAATATAAAATATATTTTTTTAATACTTAAACGATGTCTAGAACTCAAATATATGATATTTTAGTATAAAATGATCTAAAACTTAAAGAATTAATTAATATTTATTATATTTTATATATTTTTAAAAAATATAATTTTTTTTATTCGGGCATTCGGGGCTATTCGGACCGGCTTGAATAGGCGCGAACATAAAAAAACATCTTTTTTTAAGCTTGACCCTAAAATTTTTTGAACTAATTCAAGCTAACCCGTCGAACTTAACCCGAATTATCGATTCTATTATAGGCTCGCCTCGTTCGATAACAAGTTTGACGGAAGCTCCATTTCTGCATTAATTATCCGGATCGTTTCCAACAGTACTTTGCCTGATATCAGAAGCCAGTGAGGGCTTTTATAGAGGTTTGAGAGAGAGGTTTTTTGAGGGGATAATCATTTCTATCCCTCTTGAGACTGATTTCACTGACCAAGTGAAATTCTTCTAAAATTTTAGGTACCTTTTTACCCAAACACCTACTAGTTTTCAGGTGTCATTGGCTTGCAATATTCTTTCTTTGTTGCTTCTTCTCGGATGATTGGGACCCGCAAGCCGGCTCTGTTGGCGGTATACTTGAACTCTCTTTGTTAATTATTGACCGTGCTGTACGCGCACTCCATGTAAGTAACCAGTGACATGGCGATTCATCGCAACACATGCGGACACAGGGCGTGATTTGAGAAAACTTGTAATATATTATTAGTATCCAGCCGTGTCCAATTCCCTGAATTCTGCAGCAACTTTTTTTTCTTTTTTCCTATGAACGATTTACTCGGCTAGTTTCCCATCGAATGGTTTACTCGGCTAGTTTCCCATCGGGTCACGTGTATGCTTAATTAGCTTGCACAGTACATGTTACTGTAAACGGTGACAACGCCGCTGGTTGATGCTCTTTGTTTTAAGCTTCTACATTTGGATTTTCATAGTGTCTTAATCCTTGCAGGAAGTATTTAAATATAATTATAAAGTCACGGTATTTACCTTATTCTTAATTTTATTTTACTTGGAATAGAAGCATTAATGTTTTTCAATGCACTACATGTATAAGAATTGAATGATTTTAAGAGAAATGAAGAAATCCAAGTTCAACCTGTTACTGGAAGCAATAGAAAAGTACAGGGAGAGAGTGCATCATTCATTTTCAAATACCTGCTACACTGACATTGTACAACTCTGATGATCTATATTCTTGTATGAAAACAGTGGGATCATGGTTCGTCATTTTGTCAATTTCTTTCCCCCCGGTTATCTGCATTTGCTTTTAAACCTAGGAAGTATCGACTGTGACCAGTTATGCAAACCATTTTGCAGGCCATGCATTGCTCATTACATTAAGTCCTTACCCATGCACGGGCGAATCATCGGGCATGAATTTTGCCATTTGTACCTATTCGTCGGCGAACAATAAATTATTAAATATGTCTGAGACATTGAGTATTAATTGATAATAAAAAAATCTCAAGCTTTGTTATCATCATTTACTCGAATGTAAAAGATACACAAAACTTAATAGAATATATATTTTTTATTATTATTGAAATATAAAATGATTACAAGTCTAAATTAAAGATAAAACTAATTGATAAATCTAAAAATTATAGGTGCAGAATATGAGTCTTTTGAGTATTAATTATCTTTTTTTCTACTTTTTAATACTCTATTTATAGTGACAAAGTAATGGCAACTTCTCCCTTAAAATCTAGAATGTTCTTTCAAAGAATCAGGAATCCTGCGAGATTCATGACATGATCTTTACTCACTGTCTTTCATTTTTGATAACCAGCTTGTCTCGTCGAGATACTTATACACGATGATGCTACTCCCGAGAGATCCAAGATTATTTGAGATTGTATCTTTATGTACCAATGGTCCACAGAGCGAGTTTGCAACTGGTGAAATTTTGGCATGCTCATCCTTTTGTGGCTTTCCATTGAGCTCGGGGCCGGTCTCTTTGTTCAGATTGTTAATTAGATCTGACTTTTTAGTCACTTAGCCTAAATGACTTTATGACTTAGCCAATGCTTTGGCAAGTGATGTTTCATATTCAGACCAAAATAGTATTACAAAATTAAGCATGGATTTGCGTACAGTACTTATGTCTCTGTACTTCTATTACTAGCATTTTGTTCTCTGATTAGCTGATTAGGATACCTGCAGACAAATGTTATTATTTTTACATCCCACCGACCTCTTATTAAATAGACGC